GCTGACGATAGTCCATCCTCGAATCGCAATACAGTCGCGGAAGACGTATAAGAAGCCCTCGAAACAGCGTTGTTCGGCAGGAGCCTCAAAGGCAGATCCCAGCACGAGAGCCGCGGCGGCTGCCAAAGGAGAGGGTTGGATCAAGCTTCGACCTTCCACTGAGAAGCATTGAGCCGTGCCGCGGAATCTCCAAGATGACAGAATATGGAACGGGTTTCAGGTAGCATGCTGGGATTTGTGATGCCAAGTGCTTGAACAGCAGAATTCGCGAGCTGGAGGAAGAGCGCTTGCAGCAGCCACAAGAGCGCCGCTTGAGGGAGAACGAATCGAACACCTGCCGTGCACAGCACAAGGCCATCCTGGGACTTGGGGCCACGGGCATCTAAGGGCAAAGTAACTCCTCCAGGTGTGCCACGAGTTTCAAGCTCGAATTGCTGCATCATTGCCACTTTCTGTGCCTATTGAAGGCTACAGGTTTGGTGGGTGCTCTGTGATGCGTCAGAACCTCACTGCCTGCAGGGCCTGCCGATCCGAGCAGTCCAATATGTGCCGCATCTTGTAGGCGGGTCTTCGGGCTTCTGCGACTGTTGTGGCATTGCTGCCGTGAGAATTTGTGGTGCTGTGGTAGTGTGCTGTCCCTTGAAAGGGAGCAGTTTCTGGAATACTCTTTCCGCTTTACGTTCTAAGCTCTGTGTCGACCTTACACCTGCTTGCACAAGTGAGGCAACTCAGCACAAGCAGCTTTTATGCGTTCAGCTGGCACGGCTCGTCCTGTGAAGGCGAGCCTTTCCCATTTCCGGAGTCCGATCCGCAGGGCACCCGGAGCTCCGCGAGCTTTCACGGCCCTGGTTTGTAGAACCAAGCGGCGTGTTTATCGTCGTGCACGCCGCAAGGGCGGTTTGCATTGTGACAACATTGTGAGTTCATTCCGGACCCTAATTCGTGTCAACCAACAGAGTCGCGTGAGACAATTCGTCGACAGCTGCGTCATGGAAGGCGTTTGTGGCTGAACCGCATCCCGAGGCAAGGCTACTACAAGTCAGTCTTCCAGAAGCTGCATCAGCTGGATCCAGAGCAGCGCAGTTTTTGCCTGCGTCGGCACGTTGGATTTGCAGCTAGCTCGTAGGCTACTGGGCTTGTCGGTACGTGTGGGCTTCTGCAGCTCTGAGCCTGTTGCAGCCTCAGGCGAGACCTGCCTTTGATTGGCAATGCAATGCAGGCACTGCGCTTGAATGCCACACAGCACGACCGTGATGAGACACTTCGTTGCTTCCATCTCCATAGAGGACGGTCTCCTTTGTCCCCCGAGCTCGGGAAAGTGATCTAAATGGGCAGTTAAGCCAAGCCATGTTGAGGCAGACACGCTACGAATTCGGCCTTGGCTGGCAGCCGAGGTTTTGTGAACTGTCTCTGGAGCACGAACTTCGCACGTCGCAGGTGTACGTTGCGCTGGTGTGGTCTGCTTTGCCACTCAGGCCGCTTGCCCCGAGCAACCGGAACGAGGCACATGCGCCGTTCCTGGAGCTCATGAGACAACAAGGCTTGGAGTGCCAGGGCTCGAAGTTGTTCAGGGAGGTAGGGAGGTGTCCTCAAAGTCTCTGAGTTGTGGAAGCAGAGCTTTGGTGCATCACAGAAGCCCGGGAAGGCATTTGCAAGTTGGTGCCAACGTTCCATTTGGCAAAGCATTACGCGGAGATGCTGAAGCAAGGCCGTCCTGCCTCGCACACCCTTCCGAGTAGGCTTGGCTGTTTTTCATCCGGTCCTCCGTGGCCTCACTGAGAGGAAAGACGTCGCCGGAGACAAACTCGGACTCCCACCTTGCGACAGACTTCGTTCGTTTCGGAGGTGTCGCAGCCATGCAGAGCTGACAGCCCGTTTTGTGGTTTTGCTCACTGTTGGAAGTTGCGTTCGGTCAGCTCCTCGCAGATATTTTTGCAGTAGGCAACTGTGTTGAAGCTGCTCTGTCCTACGGTTGCGCATGTTCTATCCTAGCTGCTAGAGGTACGGTGGATGGTAATGTCCTCGAGGAGATTGAGATGGTCGGCTGGAGCAGTCAGCCTACACCGATCCGGACTGTCACATGACATCTCAAGCGGTTTATTCGAATTTTCACCAAGCCCAGGCCTTGACCTTTCTCTCAATCTCTTCCACCTTTTGCCGCTCGTGCGGACTGACTGTACGTGGCGTCCTGATTCGCCCGAGTGCAACGTCATCATTCTTCCTTTGTTGCCAATGGGTGGGGTTTCGGTGCCTAGAGAGAAGTTGCATTGCGCGTTTGGACAGGTAGGCCAAGTCAGAGCCCACGACTAAGGCTGGAGCCCAAAGATGAAAGCTATTCCATGTATAAGTCCATGCTGGAAGTGATCGTGGCATGGGTTGCGGCCTGAGTCGAGACAGTTGGAATGCAGTCCTGCAAGCTGGTTACCAATTTTTTAAGACACGGTCCTCCTCTTGGCTTCAGTAGTGCACCTCCCTCCCCCAGTGCATGATTTTGCGTCATGCCAGCGCATGCCAAGGAAATATGTATGTGTCCTAGAATCTGCGGCATGGACCCTCAGAGCACTTCCAGAATCCCGGGACTGCGAAAGCACTCAGAGGCGCTTTGAAACGATCGCTCGGCTAAACGCGCTTCGTGCGTGCTCTTCGTGAAAGCTCTCCTTCAAGAACTCACAGGATGCTGAAATAAAGAGAGGAAGCAAGTCTGAAGGCCCAAGAGACCCCATCATTCTTCTAACTTTCCATGTTCGGTGCTTTGGAAATGGAACCCTGAATCTTGAGACATGAGTGGTCCGGGAAGAAAGCCGGCCTGCGAGCATCTATGCAACGGCTTGAGTTCTGTGTTGAAGCAATGGCCATTCTCCGCAACTCGCATGCTCTGTCTGTTGCATCGACCCGGTCTTCCTTTGTTGCGGAAATGGTCTTTCACTTTCATGCCTTCTCCCGGTGGGGTGCCGCCTGCTGATCGTCGACGACTGTGCTGCTGTTATCGTGGGGCAGGCTTTAGCTGTCGCATGGGCTGACCCCTTCCTTCTAGTCGGCTTGCAGGGGCCATCATGCCAAAGATATGAAAGGATAGGTCATCAGGATCGACATGGTACTGGCCACTCTAAGTGTCCCTGGAGACCGGGAGCACTGCTCAGCCGCAATGCGTTTCTGCGTGTAAATCTCCCCTGCAAGCATTCCTAGATGCAGAGTGGTGAGCACCATGATTAATGACTTCAGAAGCGCTCCAGACACATGTCGCTTCAAATGTTGTCTCGTGCTGCGGGCTCTTGGAACAAATAGTACTGAGGTAGTATGCAGGTTATGCTAAAGTCCTAGGATCCAAACTGTTTTTCATGACAAGCGTCTTTACGAGCCTGGGCGTACATCCATCCGACGAACTTTTGAGAAGTTGGGCCGATGGATGGCACCAGCAGATGCGAGTGCCAGAGACTCCCAAGCAGCAGCTGCAGTAGCCATCATCGGCCCATGTCAGGCTGGCTTCAAGACTTGGCATTCGTTTTCGAGAAACGACACTTCCGTTTCGTTGGCTGTAGCCTGAAGCATCACGAGAAGCAAGGGTGAGCAACTGTAAACCCTAAACCCTAAACCCTAAAGGCCTAAACCCTAAACCCTAGACTCACAAGTCGCAGCAGCCCCAGGTCCGACAGCAAGGCATCGCCGGGTCTGCTGCTCCAGCGCTTCGGGAGGTGCCTGGCTTCCCTGCAGGGGAATGAAAATGCCAGCAGATTCCAGAGTCACAAATCATGTCGTCGACACTTCATGTTGGAAGTCTGGGAAATGTCCGCCTGCTATGTTCCTATCTACATTGCCATACATGTCTACCTTAGTCAGTACTTGAGATGTGCCCTTGTCCCGGACACAAAGCGACTCAGACTTCTTGGAAGGTCCCCTTGCTGGTTCCACTGGACCTTTCGCAGATTGACTGGACCCAGCGATCTGCTACCTGGCTGAGCCTTCTTGTGGCCGGAAATCGCTCTTTGGCTTGAGAGCTTTACAAAGGTAGAGGCGAAGCTGATGACTCTCCTCCAATGCATGGGTCCGCACCCGAGCCTGTCTATGGCCGCGTTTTAGAACAACCCGAGCTTCAGTACAGCGGGCTCGCGGCCCTGGCCGTGATCCGCGACGCAGAAGCCATGGCACCATGACTGCCCGGTTGCACATGGGGGGAGCCCGGCTTCGCTGAAGTTCCCCAGCTTCGCATTCTTCTCAGCGTAGGTGGACAGTAGAACTCCCTTCCGGATTCATGAACTTCTGTGCCCAGAACAGTGGAGCTCTCCAGTGTTCGGTGAGTTTCATGACATCCCGCGCGGGGCACTCAGCACCGGCAGTTCAGGAAGCTTGAGTGCAGGATCAGCCAGGTGGATCTCTTGCATCGTATCTGGGACTGAGGTACCCGTTGGCTTCTTTCCTTCGCGCTGCCATACGAGATGGAATATGAGGAGCTTGGTTGAGCTCGTGTATGGTTAGCGGAAATGTGGTGAGGTGATGTCTGGGGGACGACACAGCGTTGGAATAACGAGTCAGGACTGTCAAGGTGAGCAGAATCTTCGCTGCTTCCCTTTCGAAACACTCCTCAGTCAGCTGGAGCCTCGATCTGTGCTAACCTGCCACAGATGTGCATTTGTGCACGCTTGGGCTGCCGAGGTTGGCCACACGCCTCAGCCAGACGAACACAAGTGCCGTCATCATGGCGGGATGCTTCTTTCACCCAGAGAATACCAGAGCCAATGTGCCCCAGGGCGGGCCTAGCATGCTTCGTAGGTCGGAACACAAGCGCTGAAGCCAGACCCCTCGAACAATCCAAACCCGGCCGGGGCCCCAGCTGTCCGCCACATAAAGTCTGGACTCCAAAGCCACCTATAAACGAATTTTGGCGATCTTATGGCTGTCCAAGGTGCAAGACTATGGCACTGAGACCGAGCCCGCGCACGGGAGCCTAGTAGAGGGGTCCCCGTGCCGAGGCTGGGAGCTATGTCGTGGTTTGTATCCTGCAGTCTTGTCAGTCCATGGCTGGGCTGTCGGATCGGAGTTGCTTGCGAGGTGGGAAAGTCGTATCACCTCTGCCGGGGGGAATCTTTGTTAAATCTCTTCCGTGTCAATGCTGTTCGAGGCAGCTCAACATGATGATCCCTTGCATGGCTCAGCACAGGGAATGCCTCAAGAGTTCAAGAGAAACCAATGTGCAGGCGACGTGAGCACTGATGTTGACGTAAAATTTCTGGAAAGGAAAAGCAGCACCACGGATATATCTAGCAGCGTTGCAAAGATCATAACGAATCATAACCACTGTTTTCTGTAGGTTTCGCGATCAGTGACTTGCTGCGCGAAATGGTGCAAATGTGCACAGCAATATATGCAGGTGAGAGATAAGAGCATTGATTCTTCAGAACGGTTGTTGGTGGTGATAGTAGCCGTGCGACTCTGGCTTAATGTGCCACCGATATTGACCGATCTTGTGATCATGCAGAGGCTTAGCGTCACTGGAAGCTGCTATTGAGAACAAAGCGTCCAACCATCTTCAGATCTTCAGAAAGTAATCGAATGTACGACTCACCATCATGATTGCCTTCGGTTGACACTTCAGGGTTGCTTCAGCTGCTTTCAGGAAATTTCTAAAACCTGGCTGAGTTGCAAAGGGGCGTCTCAGCAAAAGCGATTCTGGAACTTTTGTTTGCCTGTCACCTTGTTTGCAGAATAGCTCTCCCCATCTCAGAAAATATTCAAGGCGACAGCAGCTCGTCCTACAGAACGCCTACGAGAGCTACCTGAGGGCCAGTTGCAGAGGGAACAGGGATCATGGTCACGGCAGCCGTCAGCAATTCGGCGGCTTTGCACAAGCTCAGTCGCAGCGGCAGAATTGGCTCTATGTATATGTTAGTGCTCGGTGTCTGCTTTTGCGCGGGAGGTCAATGAGACTCATGGCAATCTGGATGGCTTCATATTGGAAGATCCGACATGTTTGCCTCAACGAACCCTTGGTGTGCTTGTCAGCGTGCCTTCGCAAATGGCGAGAGAGAGCAGTCTCTGTGTATGTGTAGACACACTTGCTTCGCTCAGATGGAACTGGTTGACAGGCGTGGAAGGCTGACACAGAAATAACCTTCCATCTTTGCTTGCAAGGGCTTTCGGGTCGTCGTACATGGGCATTCGGCAGTTGTTGAAAACGCAATTGGGGTTTCATTCATGACTTCGCCAGTTCACAGAGCTGTTTGGGTCGAAAGCCCTCGATCCTAAGCTCGCCTTCACAACTGAACTTCGAGGATTCTTGTAGCCGTCAGCAGCATCAGACTTCCAGCACACACACGCCAGAGTGCCATGTCACTCAGTCCAAGAGTCTCGTTCGGGAGTTCCGCCAGATTGCTTGTCGTACTCGCTTCCTCGCTTCGGTCCTATTTGGGCGCGTTTTCCTGCAAGAATCATGGTGAGCTCTTCGGTGATTGCGCTCCTGATCGTCGAGCTTCTTAGCTTGCATTGAAGACTCGGGGCCAATTAGCCGCGACGAGCTGTAGGACCGCTCCTCAAAATGAGAAGGGGTGCTCGACCAGCGCCAGACGTGTCAGCACGGCTGTTGAGACCGTCGCCAGAGCGACTCTTCGGACGGTTCGGGGCTGCAATTGGCTGTTGTAAACATTAGCCAATCCTATGTCCCGGAACATCGTGAAGAGACACCGCCAGTGCTTGAATTCCCAGCATCCAACTTGCAGCTTGGCTTGTAGACTCCTTTGCTTCATTTGCCTGGGTCATACTCGCAATGTCCCCGCCTCCCGAGGACCATCAACTCGACGACCTCCATGGCTTTGATGCCAATCTTGCCGTTCTATGCTTGAGCCTTAGACTGGCCGGGAACGGCTTCCGTTTCTTAGACTTCGAGGCCAGTTGGAACCTTCCGGCATTCAAAGATTTGGAGCCGTTCGGCTCTCCCACCTGCCCAGGTCTTGGAGATGGGTGCAAACGCATTCGACATTGCCACTATGTTTGCATTATGCAATGAGTTCCAGCAGTAACATGCATCAATGTTTCCAGCCGCTGTCCTTTTTCACGAGGTCCACACTGTCGTTGTTTCTGGCAGGCTTGGTGTTCTTGTGGGGATCGCGTGTTGCTCCCAACAACCCGGAATCGCTTGAAACGCACTTCGCACTTCAGCCTGCTGTTGCCTTTTCCGAAGCCTCGCAAGCCAAGGCATTACAGGGCACAGTCCGGGAGCTCAGACTACAATGGAAAGATTGCTTCGTACTTGTATTCGATAGGAGGATCCATCAGAGATTTTGCATCCGCTTGTTTGCAGAGCCGCCCAGCCCAGTCCCAACAGTTCCGCCGTAGACTTTGACTTTTGATGAGCTTTCGTTTGCAACCAGCTGCTTCACAATATTCAGAAATGCAAGCGAGCCCGACCCTCCAAACAGTGTCGTCCAGGTCTTCAACCTCGCGCAGATGATCTTTTCGCCTTTCGTTGGGACGATGTCGGATCGCATTGGCCGCAAGAGGACGCTTACAGTCAATGTATACGCTGCCGGTAGGTAGACGCTGCAGGCCTCATGCAAACGCAGACTGACACAATAGATAAGGGAACACCACTCTGAGGCCGCGTCGTGCAAAAGCCATGTTAAACAAAGCCCAGGTTTGTGGAAGCAGGCCGTTCAGTGTGAATCTTGCAGGTTGCCCCGGACAGGAGAGTCGCTAGAGCTATGTTTGTGGAGCAGCATGCATGAAATCTTGACGAGGATTTTGGTACTGTCGCTTTTTGGCGGTGCATTTGTCAGCTTCCTCCAGGCGAGTTTCGGGGATGCGGAGTTGCGTTTGTTTGTCGTGCGCAGTGCTCTTGACCTGAAGCGTAGCTGTGAGCTGTCTTGCCGTTGGCGTCAGAAGCCTGAGCAGAGCTGCGCTCAGGCCAAGGCTGAAAACTTGACGCAGATGCTCGTCGTCCGAGTGCGCCGCAGGGTTTTTGGTCCGCTGCGGGGTCTGTTGAATATTCGGTCGAAGCTTAGCACTTCTTTCGGTACTGGTCTGTGAATGTGGCTCTCCTCTGCCCCTTACGGTTTCCTGTGGAAGGAGTTGCATGAGCAGTGCACGCTTTTTTGGAATCAGGCCGTTGGCGGCATCGCTGCAAGCTCCGGACCTGTGGAAACCGCGTACTTGATGGACCATCGCTGAGTGCCGTTTTCAAGCGCTGAGAGCTGCTGTGGGCACTTTGCATTAGCCCTGCAGAGAAGCGCACAAGGAGATGACACTAGGAATCGTGTTCGCGCAGAGATCCGCTAGCCTGAGGTGCTCAGGCTCATGTCAACTCACGTCCAAATCCCAAAGCCTTCAGAAGCCAGGACAGCCATGTCAACAACGTTCTCACATCTTAGAAAAACCGCAACAAGCTTGCAGAGAGCAGGCGAAGTTACACGAAGTATGAAAGAGCAGCAAGACTGTTGCAGGAAGAGTCGACCTCGGAAAACGAGCTGCGCGAGGCTGGCTTGGGACAGTAGAGCGATCTCGGGTCTCTCTTCGCAGTTTCAGCGTCCTTTTCAGATGTCCCTTGTGGAGGGCAGATGTCAATCTTGCACTTTCAGCTTTGGTCGCCCACCAGGTACTGGTGCTCCAGCGCATTGTGGTGACCCTAGGCCGGCGCGGCTTGGCCACCACGTTCCGTCGTTTACGCTGGCCCTGCAGGAGCCATCCTCGGACCTTTGGTCGCCAAGGCTTGGACGATGGCTTGAGGATTGTGATAAGCTTTGCAGAATATTCATTTCCGCCGGTCCAAAATGGATGCTTACAAGGCTGGTTTCTTTTATCAGGACCCACCGTAAGAACCAGGGCGAGCCGATGAACCCTTGGCTTGACCAGAGGTGTTCTCTCATCTGAGCTTCCAAGACTTGTGCTCGGCTCAGTGCCGCCGAAGTTCAGTGCAGCCCCAGGAAAAAGTGAATAGCCGGCGTAGCCCAAAGCCGACTCAGAAAGACGGCCTTGAGAATGGCACCTGTTTGAGTTTTTTTTGTCATGGAGCTGTTCTAGCGAGGTGCTACCTCATTGTGGCTTCAAACATTGCTACTTGGTGGCAGACCTTGTTCGCTTACCGTTCAGGTACGGTCATAATGCTCAGCTTTAGCAAGTAGGCGCTTCAGGATTGTCCTTGGGGTCTTTGCATTTCGCAACGGCATTCCTGAGAAGGAGATAAGTTTGCTTGCGACCGAGGCTGGTGCATTCATTGGTATCTTCTTCTACTCGGCGGGGTCCTGACTGCCATAGAGCCCCGTTATGGCAGTCGTGAGTCCAGGTTCCGAAGTTTGCTGTCTAATGTGAGAAGCGCAAGGCAGCTGTCAATTGTGAGTGAACTTATCTCGCTGGAAGACACGCATCTCGGATACCCCGAAGCCTTGGGACTGGCCTGCAAGACCAGAAATCGTCCCAGGAGCATGAAACCGCCCAGGCACTGCTTATTGTGTTGCTGTGTGTGCTCATGCGCGGTGAGTGGGGAAAGGAGGGAGGCTGTCGATGATGCCAAAGCCTAAGGCCTACGGCCTAGGAGTTTTTCATGGGGTTTCATGTTCTGGCACTAGTCACTAGTGAAACGTAAGCTTGTTTACTAGCACGCATCCTGGTCAGGAGTCGTAGGGTACAGGGACGGCGCCAGCCCAGAGTCCGCACGTCGCCGCATCCGCAGCTCCGGCTCTTCGCTAAGTCGACGAAAGTATCTGCAGCCATGGCGCCCATAGGAGAGGCCGGCGAGATGCCATGCAGAAGCTGTTTTGCGGGCTGATTCTGATGTGGCACTAGGCGGCAACCACCTGGGCAACCGCCCTCGACCTGTTGGTGTGGGGCCCGGAAAAGTGCTTGGAAACACAGCCTGCTTGTGGCTGAATGGTTTGGCTTCTGGTTTGTGGTTCGGCATGGGGCTTCAGATAGTTCCTGATATTTGCGAGCTCGGTGCCAGTTCTTCGTGCTTCATGTGCGATTTGCTTCCTTTTGCAACCCAGCTTAGAGAGTTTGTTGTCAAGGCGAGCAAAAAGGCCGATGAAGCCGCCAAGCTGGGGACGGATCTTCAGAAGAAGGCCACGCAATTGGATGAAGTGCCTGCTGTAAGTATGTGTACGAGTGGGCAGAAGTTGCGGGCCTGATGTGCAGGAAAGAAATTGAGTGAGTATCCCAGCTTTGATGCAACCAAAGATTCAAAGAACGAGGCTCCCCTAGCAAGCCAGTGCGTTACTTCCAACCTCCATCTTTTGTGAACGGGAGTGTATGTCATCATCAGCCCTGGGCGGGACTGTAAGCGCTTTAAGCAGGCAGTGCAGAACAGCCTGTATCTTCAGGGCAAGGACAATGGCATGAAGATGCTTGAAGCAGCGGGAGCGATCACTGCAGCGGTCGCCCAGATCGGAAAGACAGGCAAATCTCTCTGCCGGGACTCGGAACGGTGTGATTGGCGACCCGCAATCCGATCATGATTTAACTTGCACATTACTCGGTGCAGCACTTGGATTCTGTTGAGCGTCAAAGTAATTATATACTGGAAATGGTTTGTAGCTGTCTGGCTTAGGGACCATGGCTTCAGAACACATGAAAGACAATGAAGTCGCAAATTTGTATTCGTCGGCTGGGATCCGACAGAAACTAATCATTTGCCTTCGTACCAGGAACGTTAAATGCGCAAGTTACCTCTCCGATATTCTTCTGATCTGTATCAATGTGCTACACTTTGTACCTTAGCTTTGTACCTTCTTGGCAGGCCCTGATTTCATCGAGGCCCTGCGCGGCCTCGGTGCTAGCTGGAGCGAGGCAGGTGACAAAATGCTCGGAAGTGCTTCGATGCTAGATTTTTTCTGCATGCGTTCCCCATGTGTAGAGCATGATAACGGTGGCGATGACACATCCGTTGGTGGATGCAGTGTGACAGAGGCTTCCTTTTTCCCTTCGAAAGACATGCAGGGGTAGGAGTGAAGGCATTGTCGCGAAGGCTCAGAATCCAGGGTGTCAAGGGGCCTTTCGCAGGCGGCAGGCCTGCTGGCAGCTGGTGGCAGCGGTGGCGACTCGGGGCCCTGGGGCAAGGTGCAGCGAGTAGATGATGTTTCAGGCGTTACGCTTGACAACTGAAACCGGAAAGTCAGGTTGGGGTTTCACGTGTCGGCGAGAGAGCTCGCGCATCTAATCGGTCTCATTCGCCGGAGGCCGCCGACTTGGCCAAGAGCAAGGCGCACACAGCGTCGCATGGATTCGATTCGACCCGAGCTTCACCTCAACCCTGTGAATCTTCGCTTGTGGAGGCTTCGGGTGCGAAAGCTGTGACTTGGCACTGCGGTTGGCCGGACAAGGGAGTTCTTGCTCGTTCGGCTTTTATTCGGCCTGCAATGCTTCTCAGCACGAGTCTTCGACCAGTACAGTCGTGCAGCAACGGGTACGGCAGGAATGGACTTGAAACAACTTGAACTATTGCAGAATCTTTGTATCCTGAATCTCACTGGAGGCCATGGATCTTGCCAAAGAGGTCGGAGCAAGCTGGACCGAGAAGCTGCTTGGACTGGTTTGCTACTCCCGATTCCCAGCTTCGAAGCTTTCCGAACCTGTGAGGCTTACGCCCATCACCGTGGCAGACCTCAGCAGCTCCAAAACAGAGGATGAAGCAGCCCTGAAGGCCGAAGTGTGCCGACGAAACAAGCTCGTACGAGCTCCACGCCTGCAAAGGCGGCTGCGGACGCCCCGCAGAAGATCACGGACACGCGGCAGAAGGCCGCTGCCCTGGTCAAGGCCAGGTGACGCCGCAGGAGCTTTCATGAGTCTAGTTCCCAAACCAAGCCGTTCTTGGAGGCTTCCCTGGCTCAGCTGCAGATGGAGAATCCTCAGTCTGAGGATGCACTCAAGAAGCTTGGCATGAAGAACAGCCCAGCGTTGATGATGGGGATTTCCTCATGTGGGCCTTCGGGAGCTCCCTGATGGCTTTTGGGTCCACCAGGAGGTATAGTAGAAACCGCCAAAGCTACGACTTTCAGAGCAAAACAGCTTGGGCTTTGAAGCACGAGACACGATCGCTCAGGAACGCCAAGGATGCCTTGGCTAGCTTTCGGGAGCTGAACGTCCCAGAAGGCACCTTGGCTTCTGTCTTTGTGACAAGCTCGAGAGCAGGCAACTCCAGCGTCTGGAGGAAGTTTGTGTAAGTTTACCTCTTGTTCTGAGTACAAACCGTGTGCATCTCACTCGGGGAAGGCGAATCCGTGACTGTGCAAAGGTGAGGCCACGGCGCTGCGGGCCGTTGCGGTGGCCTCGCTGGGTGTGGATGCATTTGGGGCACTGCAAGCTGCGAACCAGTCTCTGAAGACTTTCAAGGACCTCGGATCAGCTCAAAGCTTCCTCTGGGAATAGACTGAGACCTACTACAGGTCTTCATGCTATGCTACACAAATATACTTAGTAATACTCTACTATAATACTCTACTATATGATGCTATATCAAAAATTTATATTACGTAAAACCTATATTGCATAACACTTATATACATAAAACTTTTATTACATAAAAACTATATTACGTAAAAACTACATTAAGAGGAGGGAGAGGGAGAGGCTGCGGCAAAAAATCCGCAGGAGCTCGGCCATGGCAAGGGCCAGGTGGCGGCCTTGCACTCCATTGCCATGGCCCACCTGGGGAAGGATCCTCGGGGTTTGGGGCTTATAGGGTTTGGGGTTCAGGGTTTGGGGATTAGGGTTCAGGGTTTAGGGTTTTGGGTTTAGGGGTTTAGGGTTTAGGGTTCAGGGTTTAGGGTCTAGGGTTCCTGAGACTATTTTGTTCCTCTCAAACACGTCCCCCCCGCTTTGGGGACAAAAGACCGTGAGCGCATTCATATGTCTGTTGGACAGGATAGCACCGACGATTGCGTCTTCAGGGCCATGGAAGGTCTGAAGCTGTCTCGACAAGTGGGAGACAGGACTGCAGTGTTGCAAGGGTGAGTTGGGCCCGTTGGGACAAGCGTGACCCGTGTGCAGTGCCATCGTTGCGGTTTATGGAAAGCAGGATGCGAGAATATGCGATCCTGACGACCATCGTCGAGGCATGGGGCCTGCGGTCCTTTCGTTTTGCCCTAAGAAGTTTCCACGCGCGGCTTCCAAGCTGGCGCCCCTGGCAGGCCTACCTCATCCAAGGGGCGGGCAAGCGCGCCCTGAGCTCGGCTCAGGAGGCGCTGGCAGTGGCCAAGCGCGGGCCTTGGATGCTTTCGAAGGGGGCGAGAGCGCCGGGTGAGAGCACTTGGAGAGAGCTTCCCCTGCTCAGGGGCCTCGGCGAGAAGCTTTTGGAAGCGAAGGCGCAGTGCCTCGTGGCCAAGGCCGAGAACCCTTTTTCTCGAATGATGCCGATGGCCCATACCCTTCACCGGGACAGTCTTTCCAGCCTGCGAATGATTTTCGCACATCGTCGGAATCATCGGCTTGTGGTTGGGGGGAGTCTGGGAAACAGCCGTCAGCACTGCCAGGCTGCAGGGCTTTGCTCTGCCGCAGAGTCTGCTGCGGGGGTCGCCGCAGCCCAGGAGGCCCTTCCAGAGAGAATGGACGGAGATGTTGCGGACTCTGTTGAACAGACGCTGCGTAGCCTGGCGATGAACTGTCCCGGAAAGGCGCTGAAGATGTATCAGGGCATGGGGCTGAAGTCCAAGGCTGCGAAGCTTGGGAGATCGGTTTCTTATTGTTTCTTGTTGTGGAGTGACTTCGTGTGACAGGAAAGCGAGGCTTTGGCGGCCCTCGGAGCCGCTTGCATGGCCAAGGAGGAGATCCACTCAAGAGCTGAGAGGCTCCGAGCATCCACGGCCCTGCTTCCGTGCTTTCGTCGAGGACCCAGCGGAGGCACTCCGCGAGGGCCAGGGCCTTGCGGATAAGTTCAGGCAGGCCGGCGACAAGAAGGCCTGCCAGATCCTGCCAGCCCGCCGCCGAAGCGTGGACATGTTCTCTTGCCCGTTCGACTTACTTTGACATGTACGGAGGAAGAGTCTTCAGTCATGCTAGCCATCGCCAAGATCCACAAGGACTACCAAGATTCGGGAAGACTTTCCATCATTACGCAAAACTGCCTTGGCGGATCTTGACATAGAGTCATCGTGACGCGCGTGAAGCATTTGCAGGGACAAGACGCACTGGTTATGCTCGAGAAGGGAGCTATATTCACATGCTCTCTGTGCTACTCTTGGAAGGACAGCAAGGAGCTGGACCAAGCGCTGCGTGCGGCACAGGAGGCACCGCCAGTTTTGGTCTTCGGGAATACGGCCGGGGCAGACCTTGAGCAGTTCGAAGCTAGCTTATGATGCCCAAGGTCGTGCGTTTGTTGCCGTGGTTACGTGTTTGTCTTCTAGCCATTGCACACAGCTGGGCTCCGTAGCACCTGAACGAAAGTATTCCCAAACCGAATTCGTGGAAAGCCTTTTCAGCAAGCCTCCGCTCGAAGAGCTGACGATG